CTTTCATAATTTCCATTTAGTTTTTATGGAATTCCGAGTTGACACTGAGAGCAAGCCACCAGATAGCGCCTTGTGAAACAGTTACTAGACCAAATATGGGTCATAATAAAACGGCGCAGTTTGTAAAAAACCGCGGTCTTCTCAAGAATTTATTCCCAAATTTATTATAATGAGAGCATAGTAAATTACCTATTAGGTTGGAAACTCTGAAACGCGAAAAATTTTCGCGTTTACATTATCACGCCAACGTATTTGGTTAAACTCCCTGATTCTCCCATGACTAATTTTGGACACAGTCGATCCTCCCATTCAGTGAGACCTAATTTAAGTGATTGAGAGTTCTAAATTCGGGCTCTCTTCGAAAAAAAGAATTTTCAACATAAGAATATGATATCATGTAACATGTCGATCTCGCTCGGACTTTAACGAGATCAGATATCATCATTTCTATTTAGTTATTAAAATGTAATTTAGTAATTTAGTACAGCGCGTTATTATTTATCTTTTAAAAAATTTTTTTTAATCATAATCTTATTATGTAAACATGAAACAAGATAAGGGGTATTCTATTTAATTTTAAATAATTCTAACGCATATAAAGTACAGGTGGTGAATTGACGTAAAACCTGATTTCTCATTTTTTTTTGATTTTTTACAATACTAATTCAGAGTCAGCGCTGAGTTAGGGATCATCATGAATTTCGCTCATCATAATCACATTTACGCGTTTGTTATTTTCAATGAGAAAACTTCGTGCACTTTTAAAAAAAAAAAAAAACTTTTTTTGTTTTCAAATCGGTTAAATTCGGTTGATCTTCGCCCAAAGGAATAATTATTTGCCGATATTAACCTGTTTTTGTAATTTTTCTAGTTTCTGAAAAAAAAAAAATCTTGGAATTTTTTGACATGATTAAATGAAATTGTGACATACATGTGAGTGCATTAATGACAACCGTATAAATAAATCTCTGTTCTAGTCCTAGAAACCTCCAAAATGAGTAATCAAGAAAGAAATCGGTCATATGAAATTAAAAAAAAAAAATTTTTATTAAGGTTTTTTTTTTTCAATGGCTGAAAAAAAAACGATCAAATCTAAAGCCAATATACAAATTAAAGGATTGACGTGAACTTTACTTCTTTAAATTTATAGCTTTCTTTTAATAAAACCAAAAATGAAAAACAAGTGTATTTGTAATAATAATTTTCTTCTTATCAAATAATATTCGGATTATGACTACTTTAAAAAGAATATCATTATGGAATAATTTGTTTTTGATTATAAATTTTGGCAAAACAAAATGACGATTAGCGTCAGAGTTGGATTTCGTGAAAAATTATGATTTTTGAGACGGTAAATTGAGGGAAACGTGTTATTATTATATAAGAAAAAAAAACATCACCATACCTTTTTCTGAGCTCTTACGTTTTATAAAGTTTTAAAAATGTTTTACAAAGCTCTAAAGCTCAAATTGGTAACTGATGTATTATACAAAATTTAGTCGATTATAGTTTACATTTTATTTTATTTTTCTTTTAGCATACATACATGATTACATACATGATACTCCAGACAGGACATATTCCCATTTATAGAAAGGCAAGGAATAATTGGCAAAAAAAAATTTGTTTTTTCACCTGCAGAAACTATCAGTCGTTATCTTTATAAGTTTAAAAACAGTTGGGTGTTGGTTTTTAAAATGTATATAGAACTCAGAAAAGGAAATAAGCTTATTTAAAACTGTCTATAAATAGAATTTCGTTATTCTAGATTTAATTTAATTTTTTTGTTTATTTAAAAAAAAAAATAATAATAATAATAAAATGAAAAAGAAAAAGATTGAATAAAAGTGTTAATATAAATTAAGGTTCAAAATTTTAATTTCTTTAAAGCTTAATAAAAATTATTTCGCGCTTTAAATTTTTATTTTATTCTTTATTTTTTTTTTTTTTAAAAAAAAAAAAACTCCCGAAAGTCGTTATACTGCGTTTAGATTAAGTTATAAGAAAAACAGATAAGGAAACTTTTCAATGGCGGAGAACAGATTCCGAAAATTTACACAAGGGTATCGGCCGACTACAAATAATTGCACAAGGATTTAAAAATATTGGCCTTGTACATTTCCCAAATTTAGTAATATCGCCAATTCGCTTTATACGAACGGTAATTTGTATAAAAAATCTTTTGAAATCTTTTATTTTTTTTTTTCATAATCTTAAAGTTATATTACTAAAACATTAATTAATTTGTGCACTTAATTACATTTTTCCCCATTAACGAAATAAATTTTGGTCTTTAAAAAAGATAGGGGAGCCATACTCAATTAAAAAAAATTACAGAAACACACGAATTTTGCTTTTTTTTTTTTTTTTAAAAAAAAAAAGGAAGTAAGGTTAATCTTAGGACCTTTGAAATCCTTATTTATATATACATTACATATACTTATTATTTATTTATTTTGTACTTAAAATGTGAAGGAAGATTATTATGTTACAAAAACGGTTTGTTTATAAAAAAGAAAATAAAATTATATCAAATCATAAAAAAAAAGAAAAGAAAGAAAGAAAATAAAATTATATAAATTCCAAAAAAAAAAGAAGAATGTAAACTCTTACATAAATTAATTAATTTACTTACAATAATAATTTGGAATTTTAATTTAATAGAAATAATAACTCTCATCGATAGCAGAAAATTGAATATTTGTCGCATCGGTTGGAGTTTGATCATAATTCGTCATTCCATACATATTATTGATATTATTGTTTAAATAGTTAATGTAAGGTTGCTCAAATGGCGCTGGAGAGCCATTAAGCAAGTCAAAATCAGACTGCTCGTTTAAGGAGGAGGTATTAGGAAATTTAAAATAATCATTTTCCATTGTTTTATGTTTATTTTGAAACGCAGTTCCTTCAAGAAAGGTTTCGGCGAAGGGAAATTGTTGATAATAAATATTTCCCATTCCAGCTTCATTTTGAAACGAAGAATCTTCAAGGAAGGTTTGAGCAAAAGAAGATTCATTTTGAAACGAAGAACCTTCAATGACGGTTGCGGCAAATTCGTTATTATTAATCATGTTGAATTGTTCCGCTATACTTGTTGGAGACATAGCTGAATCCTGGTAAGACATAAGAGAAGAAGGAACGACAGGAATGGTCTGTGAATAACTTGATGAAATAATGGGATCGACGAAAGTACAACCAGCAGCTTGAGCCTTTGGTGTCGGTTTATATTCGTAGTGAGGGAAAAATATTTTGTGAAAGTCCTTGAACTGCGTAGACAATTCTTCAAACCTTTTCTTCTCGCTAGGATCTGCTCCTCCCCAAATAAACCCTGCTATCTTACTTTGTTGTGTTCCGTCTCCAAGTTCTCTTTTAATCCCTCCTTTAGCAGCTACCAATCCTAAGACGGTCCTAAGTATCATGAAGCTGTTTACTTGTCTTTTTGGCACTATTTGTTCAACTGGCGTGGTATCAAGTTTATAAAATTTGGAGAATAAACTCTGTATATCGTATTTGTGGTTGAATATTTCTTCCCGGTTAAATCTATTAATGATTTTAATTTGTTCTTCGTTAGGACGTTCGTTCTTGGACGACTTAAGTTTGCCTTGCCAATCGGGATTCGCAATAATACTCATGGTTTTAATTTCGATGAAAATTTTGTAATTTGTTTTTATTGTTTTTTTGATAAAGGTAATTATTCTTTGTTTGATAAAAGTCAAATTTTTTTTTTTTTTTTTTTTGTTCTATTTGTCGTCTGGACGGGTGGGGGTGTATTTATAACGAAATTTATAATTACAAATTTCAAAAAGGAAGAAATAAAAAGGGAAAATCATATATATATATATATAAAAAAAAGTTTTAGACTATTACTCTTAATTGATAATTGACAAATAAAAAAATTTTTTTTTTTATATTTCAAATTAAAAAATAAAAAATTTTTTACATCTAAGTTTGCTTTGTTGAAATTACCTAAATTTTTTATTATTTTATTTACGCCATGCTTTATTGCTCTTTTTTTTTTTTTTTTTTTCTTTTTTCTTTACGTTTTTTTTTTTTTTTTTATTATTACAGCATATATTGATTAAATATTTAACACAGCCAATCTTCTAAAGGAAATTATTTACCTATTGTCACGTGAACTTATATGACATGAGATTCATAACCTAGAAATAAAATCTTCCGTGTGAGTATAGAAGACGTTTAAAAAAACGTCGTTCACCTGGAAAACATCTGGAAAAAACCCCCACAACTGGAAACTGTAGCACGTTTTCGGTTTTCGGTTAGATGACGTTTTCCAGATGACTCTGGCGGTTTCCTGGCCGTTACCGTTTATTTTTTTGAACGTTCTCTTTTTTACGATACATGTGTAGGTTTCGAATGTTTCCGAAAGAAAATTCAAAGTTATCAAAAAAAAAAAATTTCCACCACACGCATATACACTTTTAAAAAAAACAACTCACGAATTGTATCTTATAAAGCTTTGTTTTCTTTGCTTATGTATCATATGTATCATACAAAATTTTACATTTTTAATATCAAGGTCATGCACATTTACTTGATTTATTTTTTTACGCTTCATTTCATTTTTTTTTTCATGCATATATGGTCAGTTTATTATTTTCTATCAAACAAGGTCTTCATGGTAAACGACTGACTGTCGTCACTTGATCATTTTCCGCAAATTGTCATTTCCCTTTAATTTGTCCTTTGTGACATACATGGTGACAAATTTTAAAAAGTATCCATCACGTAATAAGTCGATCCTATGGTTAAAATCACATATGAAGGTTTTATCATTTTATTTTTATTTTTTATGTTTAATTCTCTTAAAATTTTATTTCGCTAAATAAAATAATTGGAATCATGGATATTTTACATAATTCATAAATTAATGTTCTTATTACATAATGTACATTTGACTTAATAAAACTTAGAAAATTAGAAAATATTGATATATAATCGTGAATTACACTTATTCATGAATTCATTATAAATTTTTTTTAAGAGTAATTTGGAATAAATAAATCATTGCCGTTTAAATGATTATATTCTCCTTGATGATCATCGAAAGGAAATTGTTGCATAAGAATATCATTATGTATGGAAAATGGCTTTACATACAATTCTTTTGGAATTGTTTTTTCATTAAATTCCGGAAGGATTGGTTCATCAAGAAAATTTTCAGAATCATAAACACCCTGGCCATTCACGTATGTACGTTGTGTGGTACCGATATGATCATTGCCTTGAGCTTGTAAATGCGTATTCGAAGAGTTATTCATCGATTCATGAGACATGACTTGTACTTGAGCACCATTCATTTGTTGAGAATGATCCACATGATCATTTGGTGATATATTAAATATTTGAGATTGTATTTGCGTATTCTGATTATGAATAGGTTCTTGAGACACGGCTTGAGTACTACTCATTTGTTGCGAATGATCAACATGATTAAAACTTTGAGATTGTAAATTCGTATTCGAAAAATTATGAGACATGATTTGTACTTGAGCACTACTCATTTGTCGAACATGATCATTTGATATGTTAAATCTTTGAGATTGTAAATGCGCATTAGAGTTATTCATTGATTCATTAGTCATAACTTGTGCTTGAGCAATCTCCATTAGTTGCGAATCATTTGGAGACATGTTAAATCTTTGAGATTGTAAATGCGCTTTCGAAGATTTATTCATCGATTCTTGAGGCATGACTTGTGCTTGAGCACTCTCCATTTGTTGCGGATTATCAACACAATCATTTGGAGCGATGGTAATGCTTTGAGCTTGTAAATGCGCAGTCGACGAGCTATTTTTCGTTTCTCGTGGCAAGTGATCGTCATTTTTAGGACGATATTGTTTAATAATGGTATGTTTATTTTTGTTTCGGTTCGGCTTATAAACATAACCCGGATTTTTTTTAGCGTGTGCATCTTTAATTTTTGTAGCCAATTTTTTAAAAAAATCGGTATATTTCTGTTCTTCCTTTAATTCTTCCCATATTATCTTACTAAACTTCTTACTGAGGGGCATTTTCATACACCTTTTCACTTGATGATCTTCACATATTTTTTCGACGACCTGGTCTAAATGTTTATTAAGCGTGTTTGTATATAAAATGTTTGAATTGGAAGGTCGTTTGATCTTGCCATCCCGATTTCTTTCTACATTTTTCGAGTATTTTATAACATATATTTCCATATCATTATTATCGATTTCGTATTTTAAAGATTGTATCGCATTATCTATGTCGGTTTTATATTTTTCCCGTCTAAGGGTGATAATATTGTCAACCGTGAAGTAATCTAAATTATTCTTTAGTTTTGACATTTCATTTACCGAAAGAAATATTAAATTGAAATGATAAGACAACTTGCCAAGTTTTCAATAAATTTGCGCCTTATATAGAAATTTTTAAAATATATAATATAAAAAAGAAATTATATAATCCTTTTTGTAAAACAAGTACGAAAAAAAATAAAAAAACTCCTTCAATCACAAATATAGTATAAAATAATCTTTATATTTTAAAAAAAAAAAATATATAAAGACTAAAGATGGAAATATATTTATCTACAAGCAAATAATTTATAATATTGTTTTGTGTGTTTTGTGACAATTAGGTTTTCTGATTTCCTTATTGGAGATTTTTTTAGAGAGAGTTATAATTTAAACAAGGCGTGAAAAGCTGTTTATATATTTAAAATGGAAAATTTTTTCCGGAAGAAATATAACGATAAATCTAGTAATAAAGACAAGGTAAAAAAAAAAAAAGGATCAACCAATGCTTCTGTTCAGAAAACCTAAATCATCACCATTATCACAGGCCTTTCAAATATCACATAATGATCATTGACAATAAATAAATGCCAAAGGGATTATGAAAGTATGATGATTTTTACAATCTTTGTAGAATTCTTAGGCATAAAGGAACGATTCCATCCACAAGCATTGTTAATTTCCCTTTAAAGTAATTTTCTAGAAAGTCAGAAATCTCGAATGTTTTCATTATTAAATTGAAAATTATCCGTTTGGTTATTTTTTTTTCTGTTCCGGAACATTTCTTTATAAGTCCAAAGGTTATGATTTTTCTCCATGTGAATCCTAAAATAGCAAATCCAATCGGAGTCCATTATTCGAGCAATCTCAAAAATTAATTTTTATATTTCTAAAAAAGGAATTATTACAATATTACCAGCCCAAACATTTAATCTAGCTGAATTTAATTCTTTCGGGTATTAATAACGATTATTATTATTTTTTTTTTCTTAGAAAACTGTACTTAACACATGTTTTCAATCATGAAATTATTAAAAAACTTGGAATTCTTTTAAAGAAATCTTAACCGTTATTAATAAAGGTAAACCCATTAACAATTCTATAGAGAACCTTAACGTGCCCGCATCCATGTATAATGATTCAATATTCTACAACAGATTTGATTTTTTAGTTTACAATTTGTCAATTTGTGCGTTGTTTAATAAGTGGTCCATATTCTTTCAAAGATGTTGCACGTTACATGACGGAATATTGTATGCTGATCGGCTATCTTCATAGCAAAATTTGCAATTATTTTGAAGTTATAATAGTTATAATAATACATACAGACTTGAATTATTTGCATTCTCATTTTTTTTTTTTTTTTTTTGAAGAAAACGTTAAACCATAAATAAATTCGGTCTTAATGTATCTTGTGCGACTAAGCAAACCTTTCGGCGTATAGCGAAAGACGTTTTTTATAACGGTTCAAGACGGATCGAGTAGATATTTTGGAGGAGTCCTCTTTATAAAAAAAAAAGCATTGAATTACTGACCGAGCATTATAATCTGAAATTTATGTCGGACCAACTCTATAATAGATTTGAATTTCATGTCAAAAATTAGTCAAAATTAGTTTGTGTTTAGAAAATCACCTCAAAAAAGTTTTTGGCCCACACTTTACTCATAAAAGTAAGGATGCTATGTAATTTTGTTGCTGTGTAATCGTTGGTAAAATTTTTTTTTTTTTTAAAAAAAAAAATAATTCAACCGAGGATTGTTTATGGTCACTTGATTATTTTATTTATATTAAGTGCTACAAAGAATTATGCTGATTTGACCAATTAATTTTTAATAAGTTTTATTTTAGTGTTAGAATGGGAGATCAATTCTTTGAGAATATTTTTTTAAGAAGAAAGATTAGATGATAAATATAAAATATGCAAACTTGATGTTTTAATAATTCCTTTTTCTATAATTGATTGATCCGTTGCGGTCTTTTCTTCTAATGGGATTTCCGTACTTCTGACACGTGAATAAGATTTCAAGGCTGAAACATCATTATAAACTTTAGCCCAAATTAGGAAACTTATGATATAACGTTGCATGTTTTTTCTCTTTCTCATAATTATTATAAAACAATTTGAGGACCGCTGCCTCGCCAACAATGAATGGAATGGCTTCATTTTTTTTATGACGCAGTTTGTATGAAACTCTTTTTTTTTTTTTATGATGATTTAGCCCGATTCAGGCAAAAAAATATTTTTTTCTTCTCGTTTTGAATTTTGTTATTCATTAGAATGAACCGATAAAGTTTTTTTTTTATCAAAAAAAAAAAAAATAATTGTCATGAGACCTCTAAATGTTTGGTATAAATATATAAATAATAATGGAATAAAATGATTTCCTTACTTTGAAACTCATTTAAAGCAAACCAGTTTATCATCTTGCAACAATTAAGACTAAATTTATAATTTCAAAGTTCATCATGGTTCTCATGACCAACCGTTCCATATAAGTTGAACTTTTAATATAAAAAGAACGCGTAAATGCATAGTATCAAAATTTTCTTTAGAATTTGATGAATTTAACAAAAAATTATACATATATATGGCGTGTACGTTTTTTTTGTTCAAAATAACTTAAATATTTAATGTCTTGTTGTTTCAACTAACGTTAGAAATGTATGGTCTCGTATACCTCATAAAGATTTTTGCGTAAAAGCTCCTTATAATGAACCTGCCATCTCATACGTATTATTTCTTCTGTTCTCATCATAACAGGTGATGGTTCACTATATCGAGAAGTTATTGCAAAAATGAATTGAAAGATAAAGAAATTTCGATATAATGCGATTTTATCTTGTGCTTGCTCGCTTACATAAATTGTTTTTGAAACATTTTGTTTTTGGAGTGCTGAAAATTGTTATTCGCCTGCCTCGTGTAATGAAAAAGACGTTTCTTTCCCACTATCATCCATTTTATCCTTTAAATTTTTATTTAATGTTGTAAGAAGTGTTCGTAGAACTTTGCTATCTTTTTGAAAACTAACGATCATCGGTCACGTGATCATAAATGCTGTGTAATCAAATATCTCTAATATCCCAGATTCAAAGATGGGTGATTGTGATCTTGTTTTATTATTGATTCGATTCGATGCATGTACGCTAGACTTATAATTCTCTAAGCTAAATTCTGTGCAATCGCGCTTCTGCCCTTAAATTGTCAACAGATTTTATTGATGTCAAACAATCAAACAATTACAAACCCCTAATGGCTAATTCGGATCAATTAGAAAGAATAAACAATTAATCATGCTTAATCTTAATTTAATGTAAATAATATTAAATTGGATTGTATTGAAACACGCGTTGTTTCTTTAATCGTATCTGATAAGAATATTCGGATTTACCATATGATAAACAAATCTTGAATGGCATCAGCATAACAATGGTGGGTTGTTATTTGTTGACTCAGTGAAACTCTGAGCCAGATCCTTAAACCCAGGAATTTGATGTTTTTAATTTAAATTTTATTTGTTCGCTTGATTTATCCGTCATATGCTTAAATTAAACAGTGGTACCACTTTCTTCTTTTTTTACCTAAATTGTTAAATTATTTAAATTAACGGGTGATAATACTGATTCATTTGCATCACAACGTTATCAAACATCACCATCTACTTTCTAATCTTTTATCAAAAATATATATATATCTTGTTTATTATATATTTTTGTTCAACTTGGTGTATGAGAGAGAAGATCAAAGTTTATCGTTAAGGAAAAAACTTTTCCCTCGTATGATAAACGAAATTACTTTTCCCGAAGTGTTGTTTGTTTATTATTATAAGTAAATAAATAGCTATGCTTATTCTTGAATATACAAAGAAAAAGGTACTTTGATTTATAAGAGGTAGTTTTCGGAAATATTATACGAGCTGTTAAGTTGATAATATCAATACAACAATACTTTATTTACTATTATGGGTTACAACAATCTCTTTTTTTCTCATTATGCGAAAGAAACGTTATTATTTAAAAAATTAATTGTTTCCATTTTCTAACAACAATGGAATTTAAGAGTTGACGTTTCACAACAGAGATCGCGTAATATAAGCTTCCAAGCCTTTACCATTATTTATTAATTTTTTGCAAGGATATCTAAAAAAAAAAAAAATAAATAAATAAAAAAAGTGAATAGGGATTAAACTAATTTAAGTTGCGATTGCTCGCGCATTTTTTTGGAGTTGTTCTTTACATTTTTACCGTGAGTAACGATGAAAAATTTTATTTGGATTCCATTTCGCTCTTACATTTTTGTGAAATGATTTACTTGCCTTTAATAGTATATAATTTATTTATCAAGAATTTTTATACTAATACAAATTTTTTTTTAAAAAAAAAGTACCTAAAAGTACAGTACGTAATAAGTCAATCACAAGAAGATGCCAATCACATTCAACTCTATAAATGCATCCCCTTTGGGAGTGCATTTATATTATGGAGAGTTGATTGATTCTAACAAAAAACGGTGCTAAAACTGCGACCTTCGAAAAATGTGTAACAGTTACAAATATTAGTACGTTTTATGAATGTTTAGTCATAAGGATTGTTTTTTGCTCATTCAGAATTTGATCGTTTTTTTTTTTTAAGAGTGAAAATCCATATTGGAAAGTTTTCTCCGATATTCACATTATATCATCCTCATTCAAGAAACATAAAAAAACCAAATTGTCCAGAGTAAAAACGCATAGTTTCTAAATAATATCTAAATTTTATACCATCAAAAATAAATAAATATACCTCTCTCCAAACATATGGAGATCATATAAAAAAATTACTTTTTAAATGCACATTTTTTCAATCACTATGGTTCTATGGGGTAGGTCTGACTGACTGTATAAAATATAATTCAATCCCATCTTGCCAAGCCTAGGATTAGGTAATGTTGATGAAAATACGACGTGAACATTATTTGATTTAGCGTTCAAACACCTAAATGTCATGAAAGGGAAAGTACTCACCGTTTCGAATGTGTGTCCCTCTGGGCCCGTAATAATTATTCGTGAAAGAA